AATAGAGATTGCATCATCTGTGGATCTGTTGGGGCGGTATGCAAATTGGAGTGGGTCTAGGGTTTCTGGGATAATGGTGTTGATGTGCACTTCATGGCTACAGACATGAGTGCTACAGGTCTGTGGTAATTTAGGCAGGGTATCTTAGTGTTCTTGGGCACGGGGACTATGGTGGTCTGCTTGAAACATGTTGGTATTACAGACTCAGTCAGGGACAGGTTGAAAATGTCTGTGAAGAAACTTGCAAGTTGGTCTGCGCATGCTCGGAGTACACGTCCTGGTAATCCATCTGGCCCTGTGGCCTTGTCAATGTTGACCTGTTTAAAGGTCTTACTCACATCGGCTACGGAGAGCGTGATCACACAGTCATCCGAAACAGCTGATGCTCTCATACATTCTTCAGTGTTGCTTGCCTCGAAGCGAGCATAGAAGTAATTTAGCTCATCTGATAGGCTTTCTCACTGGGGCAGCTCGCGGCTGTCCTTCCCTTTGTAGTCTGTAATAGTTTGCAAAGCCCTGCCACATCCTCCGAGCGTCGGAGCCGGTGTAGTACGATTCAATCTTAGTCCTGTATTGACTCTTTGCCTGTTTGATGGTTCGTCGGAGGGCATAGAGGGATTCCTTATAAGCATCCGGGTTAGAGTCCCGCTCCTTGAATGCGACAGCTCTACCCTTTAGCCCAGTGACGATGTTGCCTGTAATCCATGGCTTCTGGTTGGGGTATGTACGTACGGTCACTGTGGGGACGACATCATCGATGCACTTATTGATGAAGCCAGTGACTGATGTGTTGTACTCTTCAATCCCACGGGGATCCCATGGCTAACTGTAAGTCGCTCTGGATAAGACCGTCTGCTAAATGACTAAAATGTAAAAATCTGAAGAATTCTGGAAAATATAGAATTATGGTCAGATTTGCCAAATGGAGGGCGAGGGAGAGCTTTGTATGCGTCTCTGTGTGTGGAGTAAAGGTGGTCTATAGTTTTTTTTCCTCTGGTTGCACATTTAACATGCTGGTAGAAATGAGGTAAAACAGATTTAAGTTTCCCTGCATTAAAGTCCCCAGCCACTTGGAGCGCCGCCTCTGGATGAGCGTTTTCCTGTTTGCTTAAGGCAGGGGTGTCAAACTCATTTTAGCTCAGGGGCCACATGGAGGAAAATCTATTCCCAAGTGGGCCGGACTGGAAAAATCATGGTATATATAACTTAAAAACAACAACTTCAGATTGTTTTCTTTGTTTTAATACGATCAACATACAACATAAAGCTGGAGCCTGACGACAGTGTGTCCAACATAGTACAAGCACAACATCACTATTAATCATAAAACACGTCAAGTTTATTTGAAAATTCTAAAGAAAAAGAACACAAACACACAAGCCTCAGTGATTAACAGAACTGTTTCACAGATCACAGAAACTATATCAGGGGGTCATTTCTCAGGCAGAAATGTAGATAAAAAGAATGAAATCCTGTTCCCCAAACAAGTGCAAGAACCACAGAGTCAATAATAGGTTAAATATACAAATAAAATAAAATCAATTAAAAACAATAGCACATCAACATAAAAACATATAAACATAAAGCTGGAGCCTGAGGACAGTGTGTCCAAAAGCACACATCACTATTAATCATAAAACACCTCAAGTTATTTGAAAGTTCTGAGGACAAAGAACACAAAAACACACAAGCCTCAGTGATTCACAGAAGTATATCACAGATCACAGAACTATATCAGGGTGTCTCATGTAGCAACTTTAAGTGGGGTTGCATAGATTATTTGACTCCTGATACCTGGCAATCTTTTAGCTTTCACCAGCGCATCAATATCAGGCGTCACATCCTGAGTGGCAGCCAACTTCAGGATGTGATTCAAGTGCTTGTGCGTGAGCCTTGAGCGCAGCTTTGTTTTATTTATGCTCATTACAGAAAAAACTTGCTCACAAAGATATGTGGTTCCAAACATCACAACAGTTTTGCAGCGAGGGCTGTCAAGTTGGGGTAACCTGGCAAGAGATTCTGATTAAATGTGTCCAAGCCAGCTGCGGCAAATTTGCCCTTCAAATCCGAGTCACACTGCAAGTCTATTATTTCAAGTTGGATGCTGACGGCCAGATCAAAGGGATTCACGGTGAATGGCGAGCAAAAAACGTTGAAGTCTTTCTCCAGTTCACCCAAAAATCTGAAAGCGTTGCTCAAACTCCCGTAACAGTCCCGTTATTTTATCTTTGAACCGCTTCATGTCTGCCACATGTTGGGTCGCGCAGACATTTTTTCAGACAGGGGAAGTTGAGCTGCAATCACCACCGGCAAGTTGCGTCTCCCACAATGACAGCTTCAACTTGAAAGAACGTATGCTGTCATAATACTGCGTGACAACTTTGTTGCGCCCTTGCAGCTGTTTTGTTCAAGTTATTCAGGTGCTCTGTAACAATCCACCATAAATGCAAGGTCCTGCATCCCATTCTGCCGGAATAGAATTCTAACACTGGTTTGGCCCTTTTCTTCCATGAACTGTTCAATTTCTTCTCGTAAATCAAAGAAACGGCCTCAGCACCCTCGGCTTAACCATCTTACCTCAGTGTGGTATGGCAGGCCATAGATGTGGTCTTCTCTCTGAGAAGGCTGTCAAACTGACGGTGATTTCAGGCTTCTGGATCGGATGAAATTAAACAGTTTGGATGACCACCTTCATGACGTTATCCATCTTTAATGAACTTGCAACACAAAAGCCTCCTGGTGCAAAAATACAGTGAAAAGTCAAAAAATCACGTCCTCCATTTGCAGATTGCACTTTCTCTCTGAACTTTGTCACAACGCCTGCTTTTTTTTTCCCGATCATTGAGGGCGCACCATCTGTAGCCAGGCTGACAGCGCGGGGACCAGTCCACTCCGACCCTGTCCAGCGTGCCGACGAGTGCGGTAAAAATATCAGCTGCTGTCGTTGTATCTGTCATCGGCACCAACTCCACGAACTCCTCGGTGACGGTCAATGTGTCATCAACTCCGCGGATGAAAATGGCCAGTTGTGCAACATCTGTATGTCCCGTGCTTTCATCAATTGCAAAACCGAAAATGCAATAAATGACTTTACTTTTTGCTTCAACTGGCTGTCCAAATCCACTGAAAGATCGGAAATCCTGTCTGCAACTGTGTTTCTTGTCAGGCTGATATTTACAAAAGCCTGACGCTTTTCAGGGCACACAATCTCCGCTGCCTTCATCATGCGTGTTTTTACAAATTCACCCTCACTAAATGGTTTTGAAGCCACTGCGATTTCATTAGCAATGAGGTAGCTAGCTTTCACTACAGCGTCACTGATGTCTCGGCTGTGAGTAAACACAGACTTGACCTACTTGCTCTGCCCCGGTATAAACAGTTTGCTTGCTTAACACAATTGCTATTGCGCCATCCAGTGGACGCAATTGGAACAGCAGTTTATTTTATTGAAAAATTGCAGCGCATTTTTATACTTTACAAAATCATCTCGCGGGGCCGGATTAAACCCGTTTGCGGGCCTGATCCGGCCCGCGGGCCGGACGTTTGACACCCCTGGCTTAAGGCCTTATACAGCTCATTGAGTGCGGTCTAAGTGTCAGCATCGGTTTGTGGTGGTAAATAGACAGCTACGAAAAATATAGATGAAAACTCTCTTGGTAGATAGTGTGGTCTACAGCTTATCATGAGATACTCTACCTCAGGCGAGCAAAACTTTGAGACTTCCTTAGATATCGTGCACCAGCTGTTGTTTACAAATATACACAGACCGCCACCCCCCTTGTCTTACCGAAGGCAGCTGTTCTAATCTTGCCGATGCACTGAAAACCCCGCCAGCTGTATGTTATCCATGTCGTTTGTTCAGCCACGACTCGGTGAAACAAAAGATATTACAGTTTTTTAATGTCCCATTGTTAGGATATTTGTGATCGTAGCTCATCTATTTTGTTATCCAATGATTGTACGTTGGCTAATAGGACTGATGGTAAGAGGCAGATTACCCCTCGCCGTCGTATCCTTACAAGGCAACCCCGACCTACGTCCCCGATATCTCAGTCTCTTTCTCCCTGCGAATGACGAGGATTTGGGCCTTGTCGGGTGTCTGAAGTAAATCCCTCTTCGTCCAGTACGAGGTGAGTAATCGCTGTCCTGATATCCAGAATCTATTTTTGGTCATAAGAGATGGTGGCAGAAACATTATGTACAAAATAAGTTACAAATAACGCAAAAAAACACACACAATAGCACAATTGGTTAGCAGCCCGTTAAAACGGCAGCCATCTCTCCGGCGCCATTTTTTCTGTGGCTAAACCAAACTAGGCTCGTAATTTAACAATTGTATTGGTATTTACAGATGGCATACAATTTTTTTATTAAGGGACAGAAGTTTTACGTTTCGAAGGGCCCCTGCAAAAAAACCCTATTTTGATTTTTTAAAAAAAAAAGTTTTTCTTAAAAAACCTTCCCTTGAATGTGACACTAAAAAATCCCTAGTTTCCTGAAAAAAGTCACAATTACAATCATGGTCGAATTATACTCCCATTTTTCTGGTCTCGACTCGCTTCCGGACCCCCCCTTTTTCCCCTCCCCTCTCATTCTGATTTGGTCCCCCCCCCCCCCCCCCCCCCCCCCCCCCCCCCCTCTTTTTTTTCGCCGGATTTAAAACCCCCCGGTCGCCCGGGCGGTCCCCCTTTTTGTCTCACCCAACAGTGCCCCCGCCCCCCCCTCTTCTCTTCCCCCTCCCTCTCTCTTCCCCTTCCCTCTCTTCCCCTCCCCCCTCCCCCCCTCTCGTCCTCCTCCCCTCTCTTCCTCTCCCCCCCCCCCCCCCCCCCCCCCCCCCCTCTTTTCCCTCTCCCCCCCCCCCCCCTCGTCCCTCTCTCTCTCTCTCTCTCTCTCCCCCTCTCTCTCTCCCCCCCCCCCCCTCTCCCCTCTCCCTCTCTCTCTCTCTCGCGCTCATTCTCTCTCCAATCATTCTACTTCCCTTCCCTCTCAGCTCCTCCATCTCAACCTTTTTTGTGGCCCAGGTCAGCATAGTCCAAGAGCACCCTGCTCTGCTTCATCGGCCCAGCCTGGTCCACATTGGGGTTCCCTATGGGGTCGTGTTGCAGGGACCAGATGAAGTGATGGCTCTCTGAGGAGATCATGTCTCCTGCTGGGACGAGATGATGAACCACTCAGACCGTCAAATGACGTGTTGGACAGAAACCTGCAGGGGGGGCGGGGGGGCAGAGAAAACAGATGAAGTTATAGGATAAGGGTGAATGTGAGGCTAGATTTCAGGGTTAGGCCAGAACAGAAAAACACTCAGTGGAGAAGAGACTGTATTCTGGTCATGAATCTCAATCAAATCATATCATTCTTTACACCTGTATAAAAATCAAATCAAATCAAATCAAATTTTATTGGTCACATGCGCCGAATACAACAGGTGCAGACATTACAGTGAAATGCTTACTTACAGCCCTTAACCAACAGTGCATTTATTTTAAACAAAAAAGTAAGAATAAAACAACAACAAAAAAGTGTTGAGAAAAAAAGAGCAGAAGTAAAATAAAGTGACAGTAGGGAGGCTATATATACAGTAAAATAAAGTGACAGTAGGGAGGCTATATATACAGGGGGGTACCGTTGCATTGTCAATGTGCGGGGGCACCGGCTAGTTGAGGTAGTTGAGGTAATATGTACATGTGGGTAGAGTTAAAGTGACTATGCATAAATACTTAACAGAGTAGCAGCAGCGTAAAAAGGATGGGGTGGGGGGGCAGTGCAAATAGTCCGGGTAGCCATGATTAGCTGTTCAGGAGTCTTATGGCTTGGGGGTAGAAGCTGTTGAGAAGTCTTTTGGACCTAGACTTGGCACTCCGGTACCGCTTGCCGTGCGGTAGCAGAGAGAACAGTCTATGACTAGGGTGGCTGGAGTCTTTGACAATTTTGAGGGCCTTCCTCTGACACCGCCTGGTATAGAGGTCCTGGATGGCAGGGAGCTTTGCCCCAGTGATGTACTGGGCCATACGCACTACCCTCTGTAGTGCCTTGCGGTCAGAGGCCAAGCAGTTGCCATACCAGGCGGTGATGCAACCAGTCAGGATGCTCTCGATGGTGCAGCTGTAGAATTTTTTTGAGGATCTGAGGACCCATGCCAAATCTTTTTAGTCTCCTGAGGGGGAATAGGCTTTGTCGTGCCCTCTTCACGACTGTCTTGGTGTGTTTGGACCATGATAGTTCGTTGGTGATGTGGACACCAAGGAACTTGAAGCTCTCAACCTGTTCCACTACAGCCCCGTCGATGAGAATGGGGGTGTGCTCAGTCCTCTTTTTTTTCCTGTAGTCCACAATCATCTCCTTTGTCTTGGTCACGTTGAGGGAGAGGTTGTTGTCCTGGCACCACACGGCCAGATCTCTGACCTCCTCCCTATAGGCTGTCTCATCGTTGTCGGTGATCAGGCCCTAACCACTGTTGTGTCGTCGGCAAACTTAATGATGGTGTTGGAGTCGTGCCTAGCCATGCAGTCATGGGTGAACAGAGAGTACAGGAGGGGACTGAGCACGCACCCCTGAGGGGCCCCCGTGTTGAGGATCAGTGTGGCAGATGTGTTGTTACCTACCCTTACCACCTGGGGGCGGCCTTGAGGGTATTTCGACTAAACCTCTGCATCAGACAGCATTGTTTTAGCATCAGACAGCATTGTATTAGCATCAGACAGCATTGTTTTAGCATCAGACAGCATTGTATTAGCATCAGACAGCATTGTATTAGCATCAGACAGCATTGTATTAGCATCAGACAGCATTGTATTAGCATCAGACAGCATTGTATTAGCATCAGACAGCATTGTATTAGCATCAGACACCATTGTATTAGCATCAGACAGCGTTGTATTAGCATCAGACAGCATTGTATTAGCATCAGACAGCATTGTATTAGCATCAGACAGCATTGTATTAGCCTCAGACAGCATTGTATTAGCATCAGACAGCATTGTTTTAGCATCAGACAGCATTGTATTAGCATCAGACAGCATTGTATTAGCATCAGACAGCATTGTATTAGCATCAGACAGCGTTGTATTAGCATCAGACAGCGTTGTATTAGCATCAGACAGCGTTGTATTAGCATCAGACAGCGTTGTATTAGCATCGGACAGCATTGTATTAGCATCAGACAGCATTGTATTAGCATCAGACAGCATTGTATTAGCTAATCTAAACCTAGCTCCGGGGATGAGCTCTAAACAGCACAAGGCAGGCTCATTCTGTGCTCTTTTGGCCTGAGCCCCGATGCCAGGACAGATCTGACTGGAGATATCTCTATCAGGGGGTCAGACGTTCTCCAGATCTGACTGGAGATATCTCTATCAGGGGGTCAGACGTTCTCCAGATCTGACTGGAGATATCTCTATCAGGGGGTCAGACGTTCTCCAGATCTGACTGGAGATATCTCTATCAGGGGGTCAGACGTTCTCCAGATCTGACTGGAGATATCTCTATCAGGGTGTCAGACGTTCTCCAGATCTGACTGGAGATATCTCTATCAGGGGGTCAGACGTTCTCCAGATCTGACTGGAGATATCTCTATCAGGGTGTCAGACGTTCTCCAGATCTGACTGGAGATATCTCTATCAGGGGGTCAGACGTTCTCCAGATCTGACTGGAGATATCTCTATCAGGGGGTCAGACTTTCTCCAGATCTGACTGGAGATATCTCTATCAGGGGGTCAGACGTTCTCCAGATCTGACTGGAGATATCTCTATCAGGGGGTCAGACATTCTCCAGATCTGACTGGAGATATCTCTATCAGGGGGTCAGATGTTCTCCAGATCTGACTGGAGATATCTCTATCAGGGGGTCAGACGTTCTCCAGATCTGAATGGAGATATCTCTATCAGGGGGTCAGATGTTCTCCAGATCTGACTGGAGATATCTCTATCAGGGGGTCAGACGTTCTCCAGATCTGAACCTTGGCAAGACTGAGCTGCTCTTCCTCCCGGGCAAGGACTGCCTGTTCCATGATCTCGCCATCATGGTTGACAACTCCGTTGTGTCCTCCCCCCAGAGTGCGAAGAGCCTTGGCGTGACCCTGGACAACACCCTGTCGTTCTCCGCTAACATCAAGGCGGTGACCCGATCCTGTAGGGTCATGCTCTACAACATTCGGAGAGTACGACCCTGCCTTACACAGGAAGCGGCACAGGTCCTAATCCAGGCACTTGTCATCTCCCGTCTGGATTACTGCAACTCGCTGTTGGCTGGGCTCCCTGCCTGTGCCATTAAACCCCTACAACTCATCCAGAATGCCGCAGCCCGTCTGGTGTTCAACCTTCCCAAGTTCTCTCACGTCACCCGCTCCTCTGCACACTCCACTGGCTTCCAGTTGAAGCTCGCATCTGCTACAAGACCATGGTGCTTGCCTACGGAGCTGTGAGGGGAACGGCACCTCCATACCTTCAGGCTCTGATCAGTCCCTACACCCAAACGAGGGCAGTGCGTTCATCCACCTCTGGCCTGCTGGCTCCCCTACCTCTGCGGAAGCATAGTTCCCGCTCAGCCCAGTCAAAACTGTTCGCTGCCCTGGCACCCCAATGGTGGAACAAGCTCCCTCACGACGCCAGGACAGGTGAGTCACTCACCACCTTCCGGAGACATTTGAAACCCCACCTCTTTAAGGAATACCTGGGATAGGATCAAGTAATCCCCCCTCTTACTCCAACCCACCCCCCCCACCCCCCCCCAAAAAAAATAAAAAAAAATAATAATAATTGTAAAGTGGTTATCCCACTGGCTATAAGGTGAATGCACCTATTTGTAAGTCGCTCTGGATAAGAGCGTCTGCTAAATGACGTAAATGTAAATGTAAATGTAAATCTCTATCAGGGGGTCAGACGTGCTCCAGATCTGACTGGAGATACAGTGAGGGAAAAAAGTATTTGATCCCCTGCTGATTTTGTACGTTTGATCATTTCTTTGTCAGTGGGCAGTCTATCATTTTAATGGTAGGTTTATTTGAACAGTGACAGAGACAGAATAACAACAAAAAAATCCAGAAAAACGCATATCAAAAATGTTATAAATTGATTTGCATTTTAATGAGGGAAATAAGTATTTGACCCCTCTGCAAAACATGACTTAGTACTTGGTGGCAAAACCCTTGTTGGCAATCACAGAGGTCAGACGCTTCTTGTAGTTGGTCACCAGGTTTGCACACATCTCAGGAGGGATATTGTCCCTCTCCTCTTTGCAGATCTTCTCCAAGTCATTAAGGTTTCGAGGCTGACGTTTGGCAACTCGAACCTTCAGCTCCCTCCACAGATTTTCTATGGGATTAAGGTCTGGAGACTGGCTAGGCCACTCCAGGAACTTTATGTGCTTCTTCTTGAGCCACTCCTTTGTTGCCTTGGCCGTGTGTTTTGGGTCATTGTCATGCTGGAATACCCATCCACAAGCCATTTTCAATGCCCTGGCTGAGGGAAGGAGGTTCTCACCAGCGATTTGACGGTACATGGCCCCGTCCATCGTCCCTTTGATGCGGTGAAGTTGTCCTGTCCCCTTAGCAGAAAAACACCCCCAAAGCATAATGTTAACACCTCCATGTTTGATGGTGGGGATGGTGTTCTTGGGGTCATAGGCAGCATTCCTCCTCCTCCAAACACGGCGAGTTGAGTTGATGCCAAAGAGCTCCATTTTGGTCTCATCTGACCACAACACTTTCACCCAGTTCTCCTCTGAATCATTCAGATGTTCATTGGCAAATTTCAGACGGGCATGTATATGTGCTTTTTTGAGCAGGGGGACCTTGCGGGAGCTGCAGGATTTCAGTCCTTTCACGGCGTAGTGTGTTACCAATTGTTTTCTTGGTGACTATGGTCCCAGCTGCCTTGAGATCATTGACAAGATCCTCCCGTGTAGTTCTGGGCTGATTCCTCACCGTTCTCATGATCATTGCAACCCACAAGGTGAGATCTTGCATGGAGCCCCAGGCCGAGGGAGATTGACAGTCTTTCTTCCATTTGCGAATAATCGCACCAACTGTTGTCACCTTCTCATCAAGCTGCTTGGCGATGGTCTTGTAGCCCATTCCAGCCTTGTGTAGGTCTACAATCTTGTCCCTGACATCCTTGGAGAGCTCTTTGGTCTTGGCCATGGTGGAGAGTTTGGAATCTGATTGATTGATTGCTTCTGTGGACAGGTGTCTTTTATACAGGTAACAAACTGAGATTAGGAGCACTCCCTTTAAGAGTGTGCTCCTAATCTCAGCTCGTTACCTGTATAAAAGACACCTGGGAGCCAGAAATCTTTCTGATTGAGAGGGGGTCAAATACTTCTTTCCCTCATTAAAATGCAAATCAAATTATAACATTTTTGACATACGTTTTTCTGTTTTTTTTGTTGTTATTCTGTCTCTCACTGTTCAAATAAACCTACCATTAAAATTATAGACTGATCATTTCTTTGTCAGTGGGCAAGCGTACAAAATCAGCAGGGGATCAAATACTTTTTTTCCCTCACTGTATCTCTATCAGGAGATAGTAAGGGGGATCTCAGCTCTCTCTGATTACTGTTGTTGTTGGCGTTTTATAAGAGACGTACAGTATTTCCCCTAGGTTATGTATTAACAGGTATTGAACAATACAGAGCTTTTGTCCTGAACCATTCACTAGGATTAAATCACCACAATCATCTTTAATAATGCTTATAGGAGTAGTGAAGCAGCATCAGTACTGTACCTGGCCAGATATTTCCCTGAGGTCATGTTCCTGTTCTGGTTGCTCTGTGTATCCATGCAGTTGGTGATGGAGGGGATGAGGGCTAGCTCAGGGGAGCGGTACGCAGCTGACCCCACCACCCGGGCCACCAGCTCCAGCCCATCCTGGACGTAATGATCGAGGGAACGAGCCCCCATCCTACCGTGGGCCAGCAGACCCGCCGGCAGCCCCTCGGTCCTCAGCTCCTCCAAGTCCTGCGTGTCCCCCAACACCCAGTGGTACTCTGGCAGCATCAGGCCCAGCTTGGCCACCACGCTAAAGATCCTCTTGATGTCCCGGATGTCGCAGCCGAATGTGACCACCGTGGACGTGGACTTCTTGATGGACTCCAGGTATCCCTGCAGAGAGGTGTAGAAGTCAGCCTTGAAGATGGAGCTGTTGGGGTGAGATCCAGAGGAGGTACTGGAGGTGGTGATGTTGACCACAGAGCCCAGGTGGAACTTGGTGTTGTTACGGAGACGAACCAGGAAGCTGGAGACGTTCCACTCCTGACAGAGCAGGAGGCTGACGTCATACCAGCTGTTGATCACCAACAGGGAGTAGAGCAGCTCCACCTGGTGCAGGGCCGGGTTATGCATCGGCATCTGGAAATGGAGAGGGTTCTGAAAGGAGGGAGAGTGGGAGATATATGTAAACAGTGCCTTCAGAAAGTATTCATACCCCTTGATTTATTCCACATTTTGTTGTTACAGCCTGAATTGAAAATTGATATAAAAAATATATATAATCTCACCCATCTACACACAATACACCAAAATGACAAAGTGACAATTTTCAGGTCTTGCCATAGATTTTCAAGTAGATTTGAATCAAAACTGTAACTAGGCCACTCAGGAACATTCACTGTCTTCTTGGTAACCAACTCCAGTGTATATTTGGCCTTGTGTTTTAGGTTATTGTCGTGCTGAAAGGTGAATTAATCTCCCATTGTCTGGTGGAAAGCAGACTGAACCAGGTTTTTCTCTAGGATTTTGCCTGTGCATAGTTCCATTCCTTTTCTTTTGAATCCTGAAAAACTCCCCAGTCTTTAACGATTACAAAAATACCCATAACATGATGCAGCCACCACTATGCTTGAGAATATGCAGAGTGGTACTCAGTAATGTGTTGTATTAGATTTGCCCCAAACATAACACTTTGCATTCAGGACAAAAAATTAACTGCTTTTCCAAAATGTTTGCAGTGTTACTTTACTGCCTTGTTGCAAACAGGATTTATGTTTTGGAATATTGTTATTCTGTACAGGCTTCCTTCTATTCACTCTGTCATTTAGGTTAGTATTGTGGAATAACTACAATGTTGTTGATCCATCCTCAGTTTTCACCTATCAGAGCCATTAAACGGCATGCATGTATTTAATTTTGATCACTGTTTGTAGCTGAAAAGACACAGTGGACACAGTGAACACAGTGGACACAGTGAACACAGTGGACACAGTGGACACAGTGGACACAGTGGACAATAGACATACAGAGTTTTTAAGGAGACATACAAAATAGTCTGCTGAAACTCTTGAGGTCTACTTGGATATATATGGCCATAAGTATACCTTCAAATTAGTAGATAAGGGTATTTCAGCCACACCCGTTGCTGACAGTTGTATACAATCGAGCACACAGCCATGCAATCTCCATAGACAAGCATTGGCAGTAGAATGGCCCATACTGAAGAGCTCAGTGACTTTCAACGTGGCACCGTCATAGGATGCTACCTTTCCAACAAGTCAGTTTGTCAAATTTCTGCCCTGCTAGAGCTGCCTTGGTCATCTGTAAGTGATGTTATTGTGAAGTGGAAACGTCTAGGAGCAACAACAGCTCAGCCGGGATGTGGTAGGCCACACAAGCTCACAGAACGGGACCGCCGAGTGCTGAAGCACATAGTGTGTAGAAATCATCTGTCCTCAGTTGCAACACTCACTACCGAGTTCCTAACTGCCTCTGGAAGCAACATTCGTTGGGAGCTTCATGAAATGGGTTTCCATGGCCGAGCATCCGCATACAAGCCTTAGATCACCATGCGCAATGCCAAGCGTCGGCTGGAGTGGTGTAAAGCTCACTGCCATTGGACTCTGGAGCAGTGGAAACACGTTCTCTGGAGTGATGAATCACGCTTCACCATCTGGCAGTCTGACGGACATATCTGGGTTTAGCGGATGCCAGGAGAACGCTACCTGCCCGAATGCATAGGGCCAACTGTAAAGTTTGGTGGAGGAGGAATAATGGTCTGGGGCTGTTTTTCATGATTTGGGCTAGGCCCCTTAGTTCTAGTGAAGGGAAATCTTAAAGCTACAGCATACAATTACATTCTAGACGATTCTGTGCTTCCAACTTTGTGGCAACAGTTTAGGGAAGGCCATTTCCTGTTTCAGCATGACAATATCCCCGTGCACAAAGCAATGTCTATACAGAAATGGTTTGTCGAGATCGGTGTGGAAGAACTTGACTGGCCTGCACAGAGCCCTGACCTCAACCCCATCGAACACCTTTGGGATGAATTGGAACGCCAACTGCGAGCCAGGACTAATCGTCCAACATCAGTGCCCGACCTCACTAATGCTCTTGTGGCTGAATGGAAGCAAGTCCCTGCAGCAATGTTCCAACATCTAGTGGAAAGCCTTCCCAGAAGAGTGGAAGCTGTTATAGCAGCAAAGGGGGGACCAACTCCATATTAATGCCCATGATTTTGGAATGAGATGTTGGACGAGCAGGTGTCCACATACTGTTGGTCATGTAGTGTATGTGACATCCTCTCTCTTCATGTTGACAAATACTGACTGTATACATCGCAACATTTTTACCCCCTATCAAGCCTCAAGGTGACAGCTAACGTTTTAAAACATGTTAAATGTGTTAAATGTCTTAAAACGTGTTAAATAAATAAAATGCATATTTAGCAAAGATTGGCCTACATTTCCATCTTTCCAGAAAACATGTTGTGATTGGAGCTCTGGATTTGCTATGCTGCATTTTTTAACAGAAATAGCAACTTGGATTAAATATTACGATTTTTGCTTTTCATTGCCTTGTAGCCTATTACTGAATATGGTGCAATATGTGTGCTTAAATACGTCATCTTCATGTAAAGAAGCATGATGATTTTCAGTGCTTGAACAGTTAAAATAATTTGGGCGCTGGACATTGATCATGAGTCAGATTTAGTTTTGATCAGACATATGAGGATGAATATTTGTCAGTGCTGAGGTGTATGTGGCGGTGAAGTCAGGCGCAGGACACAGAGGATCAGTAACGACTACTTTACTTTCCAAAGTAAAATACGCACAACACAAAAGCCTCCAAACACAAGAGGAGAAATGTACGCGGAGTGCGTAATAAACAGAATGCCAACCATACATACATGAGACGCGGACAATAACACACAAAGGCAAACATAAAACAAGGGAACTTATATGGTACATAATCAATACAGAATACGAAACAGGTGCACCAACTAGACAATACAAGACAAACATCGAAACATCGAGGGGCAGCAGCTAGTACTCCGGGGACGACGAACGCCGAAGCCTGCCCGAGCAAGGAGGAGGAGCAGCCTCGGCGGCATCCGTGACAATATTACATATCATGTAAGGATATCTACTGAAATAATGCATTTTGGGAGAAATATGGATCAATAAATGATCAGGTAATGACTACAAATATGATACATTTCTGAAAGTATGTGGATTCGTTCATGCCTGTGTATAAAGGCTTAGATATGTCAGCTTGTTGACACATACCCTTTCCATTAGAATATTCTACAAATATGTAAGCGAGTGCACACGCATCAGGGGCATGTCTTGAAGGGATCTCTCCACAGATATCTCCCTGGATTCATACAGTAGCAGGGAGATTTGAAGGGATCTCTCCACAGATATCTCCCTGGATTCATACGGTAGCAGTGAGATTTGAAGGGATCTCTCCACAGATATCTCCCTGGATTCATACGGTAGCAGGGAGATTTGAAGGGATCTCTCCACAGATATCTCCCTGGATTCATACGGTAGCAGGGAGATTTGAAGGGATCTCTCCACATATATCTCCCTGGGTTCATACGGTAGCAGGGAGATTTGAAGGGATCTCTCCACAGATATCTCCCTGGATTCATACGGTAGCAGGGAGATTTGAAGGGATCTCTCCACAGATATCTCCCTGGATTCATACGGTAGCAGGGAGATTTGAAGGGATCTCTCCACAGATATCTCCCTGGATTCATACGGTAGCAGGGAGATTTGAAGGGATCTCTCCACAGATATCTTCCTGGATTCATACGGTAGCAGGGAGATTTGAAGGGATCTCTCCACAGATATCTCCCTGGATTCATACGGTAGCAGGGAGATTTGAAGGGATCTCTCCACAGATATCTCCCTGGATTCATACGGTAGCAGGGAGATTTGAAGGGATCTCTCCACATATATCTCCCTGGATTCATACGGTAGCAGGGAGATTTGAAGGGATCTCTCCACAGATATCTCCCCGGACTCATACGGTAGCAGGGAGATTTCTGAGGTCTGGACTGGATGAAATGAACATGCATGTCTATTCCTTATATCTAATAAAATATCATATATACAGTGGGGAGAACAAGTATTTGACACACTGCTGATTTTGCAGGTTTTCCTACTTACAAAGCATATAGAGGTCTGTAATTTTTATCATAGGTACACTTCAACTGTGAGAGACGGAATCTGAAACAAAAATCCAGAAAATCACATTGTATGATTTTTAAGTAATTAATTTGCATTTTATTGCATGACATAAGTATTTGATACATCAGAAAAGCAGAACTTAATATTTGGTACAGAAACCTTTGTTTGCAATTACAGAGATCATACATTTCCTGTAGTTCTTGACCAGGTTTGCACACACTGCAGCAGGGATTTTGGCCTACTCCTCCATACAGACCTTCTCCAAATCCTTCAGGTTTCGGGGCTGTCGCTGGGCAATACGGACTTTCAGCTCCCTCCAAAGATGTTCTATTGGGTTCAGGTCTGGAGACTGGCTAGGCCACTCCAGGACCTTGAGATGCTTCTTACGGAGCCACTCCTTAGTTGCCCTGGCTGGGTGTTTTGGGTCGTTGTCATGCTGGAAGACCCAGCCACGACCCATCTTCAATGCTCTTACTGAGGGAAGGAGGTTGTTGGCCAAGATCTCGCGATACATGGCCCCATCCATCCTCCCCTCAATACGGTGCAGTCGCCCTGTCCCCTTTGCAGAAAAGCATCCCCAAGGAATGATGTTTCCACCTCCATGCTTCACGGTTGGGATGGTGTTCTTGGGGTTGTACTCATCCTTCTTCTTCCTCTAAACACAGCGAGTGGAGTTTAGACCAAAAAGCTCTATTTTTGTCTCATCAGACCACATGACCTTCTCCCATTCCTCCTCTGGATCATCCAGATGGTCATTGGCAAACTTCAGATGGGCCTGGACATGTGCTGGCTTGAGCAGAGGGACCTTGCGTGCGCTGCAGGATTTTAATCCATGACGGCGTAGTGTGTTACTAATGGTTTTCTTTGAGACTGTGGTCCCAGCTCTCTTCAGGTCATTGACCAGGTCCTGCCGTGTAGTTCTGGGCTGATCCCTCACCTTCCTCATGATCATTGATGCCCCACGAGGTGAGATCTTGCATGGAGCCCCAGACCGAGGGTGATTGACCGTCATCTTGAACTTCTTCCATTTTCTAATAATTGTGCCAACAGTTGTTGCCTTCTCACCAAGCTGCTTGCCTATTGTCCTGTAGCCCATCCCGGCCTTGTGCAGGTCTACAATTTTATCCCTGATGTCCTTACACAGCGTTCTGGTCTTGGCCATTGTGGAGAGGTTGGAGTCTGTTTGATTGAGTGTGTGGACAGGTGTCTTTTATACAGGTAACACGCTCAAACAGGTGCGGTTAATACAGGTAATGAGTGGAGAACAGGAGGGCTTCTTAAAGAAAAACGAACAGGTCTGTGAGAGCCGGAATTCTTTCTGGTTGGTAGGTGATCAAATACTTATGTCATGCAATAAAATGCAAATGAATTACTTAAAAATCATACAATGTGATTTTCTGGATTTTTGTTATAGATTCCGTCTCTCACAGTTGAAGTGTACATATGATAAAAATTACAGACCTCTACATGCTTTGTAAGTAGGAAAACCTGCAAAATCAGCAGTGTATCAAATACTTGTTCTCCCCACTGTATATAGATAAAGATATCCTCTGATACTGCTCCAGAGTAGATCTGGGTTCAAATAGTGTTTGAAATCATTTCAAATACTGCATCTAGGCTTGATTGCGCTTGCCTGGCCCAATGAAACCAATAGAATAATCACAAAACTGCAAACCCTGCTCATTTGCCACTCTGGGTAGACTCAAGCAAATGCTCATAGTATATTTGAAAAATGTCTAATAGTATTTTGAACACAGGTCTGCTCCAGAGAGGCTTGATGATGAGCAGAGTGAGGTGGTCTCTCCAGAGAAGATGAGCTAGTTGTCTCTCCAGTGATGAGCTGGTGGTCTGGTCTCTCTAGAGAAGAATAGCTGGTGGTCTAGACTCTCTAGAGAAGAAGAGCTGGTGGTCTAATCTCTCCAGAGAAGATAAGCTGGTGGTCTGGTCTCTCCAGAGAAGAAGAGCTGGTGGTCTGGTCTCTCCAGAGAAGATAAGCTGGTGGTCTAATCTCTCCAGAGAAGAAGAGCTGGTGGTCTGGTCTCTCCAGAGAAGATAAGCTGGTGGTCTAATCTCTCCAGAGAAGAAGAGCTGGTGGTCTCTCCAGAGAAGAAGAGCTGGTGGTCTGGTCTCTCCAGAGAAGATGAGCTGGTGGTCTAATCTCTCCAGAGAAGAAGAGCTGGTGGTCTAGTCTCTCCAGAGAAGAAGAGCTGGTGGTCTAGGCTCTCCAGAGAACATGAGCTGGTGGTCTGGTTTTTCTAGAGAAGAAGAGCTGGTGGTCTGGTTTTTCCAGAGAAGAAGAGCTGGTGGTTTGGTTTTTCCAGAGAAGAAGAGCTGGTGGTTTGGTTTTTCCAGAGAATATGAGCTGGTGGTCTGGTTTGTCCAGAGAAGAAGAGCTGGTGGTTTGGTTTTTCCAGAGAAGATGAGCTGGTGGTCTGGTTTTTCCAGAGAAGAAGAGCTGGTGTTCTGGTCTCTCCAGAAGGGCAGGATGAGATGCTTCTTGAGGCTGAATAATTTCCCCATGGTGCTTGGGATATAGTGAAGTCTACTTCCTGTAATTGACAGACAGAAAACAGGCTAATCTACTCACACTAAAGAAGAAGCTCTTCATCTCTTCATGTATTAATCTCCAAAACATCAAAACAAAGACAGGACTTCCTGCCAGTTTAGCAGCATTTTAAAATATATGTTCCAAATGACCTGATAGTACCTGGGTCCTGATAGTCCCGGGGTCCTGATAGTCCCTGGGTCCTGATAGTACCTGGGTCCTGTTCATTACAGTAGTTGTTAAACGGAAGTAAACAGACTGAAACAGGGAGGTAGTATGCGGAAATTGTACAAGAAGTTTAGTTCATTTTGGTTTTCCGTTGCAAAACATTTTGCTTGGTCCGGAGGCTCCGTACGGAGGGTGTGACGCAATTGCGTAGCATGCGGAGGCTTGCAGAGGCCAAATCAAGCTCCACACCGCATCGCCGTGCGACCCACACATGTTGTAACAAGGAGGGCTCTGTGTACTGTAGCTCCGTATAGCTCCGCGTTGACATGATTGGTTGACGGTAGGTGGGGGCGGTACGTCCTGTGTAAACAAAAATCACCATAATGGAATCACTATGGAATGTAAACTTCAAGAGGATTTTTTGTAGCCTTGGTCCCAGATCTATTTGTGCTTTTTTGCCAACACATGATGGATTGTTTTGCATGACAATGACAGCAATGGAGTTGGTAGAGGAGCACTAACAGACCTGGGACCAGGGCACATTTCCCCCCAAAGCAAGTGTTTGCTACTTCCTGTCCTGTTGAATGATTTGACAATGATCTAACAGATTGACAATGATCTGACAGATTGACAATGATCTAACCAGAATATTAGCCCTGCTGTCAGTATTACAGTCTGACAGACACAGTCAGTAACCAGAATATTAGCCCTGCAGTGAGTATTACAGTCTGATGGATACAGTCAGTAACCAGAATATTAGCCCTGCAGTGAGTATTACAGTCTGACAGACACAGTCAGTAACCAGAATATTAGCCCTGCAGTGAGTATTACAGTCTGATGGATACAGTCAGTAACCAGAATATTAGCCCTGCAGTGAGTATTACAGTCTGACAGACACAGTCAGTAACCAGAATATTAGCCCTACAGTGAGAATTACAGTCTGATGGACACAGTCAGTAACCAGAATATTAGCCCTGCTGTCAGTATTACAGTCTGATGGATACAGTCAGTAACCAGAATATTAGCCCTGCAGTGAGTATTACAGTCTGACAGATACAGTCAGTAACCAGAATATTAGCCCTACAGTGAGTATTACAGTCTGACAGATACAGTCAGTAACCAGAATATTAGCCCTGCGGTGAGTATTACAGTCTGACAGATACAGTCAGTAACCAGAATATTAGCCCTGCGGTGAGTATTACAGTCTGACAGATACAGTCAGTAACCAGAATATTAACCCTGTGGTGAGCATTACAGTCTGACAGATACATTCAGTAACCAGAATATTAGCCCTGCAGTGAGCATTACAGTCTGACAGATACAGTCAGTAACCAGAATATTAGCCCGGCAGTGAGTATGACAGTCTGACAGATACAGTCAGTAACCAGAATATTAGCCCGGCAGTGAGTATGACAGTCTGACAGATACAGTCAGTAACCAGAATATTAGCCCTGCGGTGAGTATTACAGTCTGACAGATACAGTCAGTAACCAGAATATTAGCCCTGTGGTGAGTATTACAGTCTGACAGATACAGTCAGTAACCAGAATATTAACCCTGCGGTGAGTATTACAGTCTGATGGACACAGTCAGTAACCATAATATTAGCCCTGCAGTGAGTATTACAGTCTGACAGATACAGTCAGTAACCAGAATATTAACCCTGCAGTGAGTATTACAGTCTGACAGATACAGTCAGTAACCAGAATATTAGCCCTGCGGTGAGTATTACAGTCTGACAGATACAGTCAGTAACCAGAATATTAGCCCTGCGGTGAGTATTACAGTCTGACAGATACAGTCAGTAACCAGAATATTAGCCCTGCGGTGAGTATTACAGTCTGACAGATACAGTCAGTAACCAGAATATTAGCCCTGCGGTGAGCATTACAGTCTGACAGATACAGTCAGTAACCAGAATATTAACCCTGCGGTGAGCATTACAGTCTGACAGATACAGTCAGTAACCAGAATATTAGCCCTGCAGTGAGTATTACAGTCTGACAGACACAGTCAGTAACCAGAATATTAACCCTGCAGTGAGTATTACAGTCTGACAGACACAGTCAGTAACCAGAATATTAGCCCTGCGGTGAGTATTACAGTCTGACAGATACAGTCAGTAACCAGAATATTAGCCCTGCAGTGAGTATTACAGTCTGACAGATACAGTCAGTAACCAGAATATTAGCCCTGCAGTGAGTATTACAGTCTGACAGACACAGTCAGTAACCAGAATATTAGCCCTGCAGTGAGTATTACAGTCTGACAGATACAGTCAGTAACCAGAATATTAGCCCTGCGGTGAGTATTACAGTCTGACAGATACAGTCAGTAACCAGAATATTAGCCCTGTGGTGAGCATTACAGTCTGACAGATACAGTCAGTAACCAGAATATTAGCCCTGTGGTGAGCATTACAGTCTGACAGATACAGTCAGTAACCAGAATATTAGCCCTGCAGTGAGTATTACAGTCTGACAGACACAGTCAGTAACCAGAATATTAGCCCTGTGGTGAATATTACAGTCTGACAGACACAGTCAGTAACCAGAATATTAACCCTGCGGTGAGCATTACAGTCTGACAGATACAGTCAGTAACCAGAATATTAGCCCTGCAGTGAGTATTACAGTCTGAAAGACACAGTCAGTAACCAGAATATTAACCCTGCAGTGAGTATTACAGTCTGACAGACACAGTCAGTAACCAGAATATTAGCCCTGCGGTGAGTATTACAGTCTGACAGATACAGTCAGTAACCAGAATATTAGCCCTGCAGTGAGTATTACAGTCTGACAGACACAGTCAGTAACCAGAATATTAGCCCTGCAGTGAGTATTACAGTCTGACAGATACAGTCAGTATCCAGAATATTAGCCCTGCAGTGAGCATTACAGTCTGATGGACACAGTCAGTAACCAGAATATTAGCCCTGCAGTGAGTATTACAGTCTGACAGATACAGTCAGTAACCAGAATATTAGCCCTGCAGTGAGTATTACAGTCTGACAGATACAGTCAGTAACCAGAATATTAGCCCTGCAGTGAGTATTACAGTCTGACAGACACAGTCAGTAACCAGAATATTAGCCCTGCAGTGAGTATTACAGTCTGACAGATACAGTCAGTAACCAGAATATTAGCCCTGCAGTGAGTATTACAGTCTGACAGACACAGTCAGTAACCAGAATATTAGCCCTGTGGTGAATATTACAGTCTGACAGATACAGTCAGTAACCAGAATATTAGCCCTGCGGTGAGTATTACAGTCTGACAGATACAGTCAGTAACCAGAATATTAACCCTGCGGTGAGTATTACAGTCTGACAGATACAGTCAGTAACCAGAATATTAGCCCTGTGGTGAGCATTACAGTCTGACAGATACAGTCAGTAACCAGAATATTAACCCTTCGGTGAGCATTACAGTCTGACAGATACAGTCAGTAACCAGAATATTAGCCCTGCGGTGAGTATTACAGTCTGACAGATACAGTCAGTAACCAGAATATTAGCCCTGCAGTGAATAATACAGTCTGACAGATACAGTCAGTAACCAGAATATTAACCCTTCGGTGAGCATTACAGTCTGACAGATACAGTCAGTAACCAGAATATTAGCCCTTCGGTGAGCATTACAGTCTGACAGATACAGTCAGTAACCAGAATATTAGCCCTGCGGTGAGTATTACAGTCTGACAGATACAGTCAGTACCCAGAATATTAGCCCTGCAGTGAGCATTACAGTCTGACAGATACAGTCAGTAACCAGAATATTAACCCTGTGGTGAGCATTACAGTCTGACAGATACAGTCAGTAACCAGAATATTAGCCCTGTGGTGAGTATTACAGTCTGACAGATACAGTCAGTAACCAGAATATTAACCCTGCGGTGAGCATTACAGTCTGACAGATACAGTCAGTAACCAGAATATTAGCCCTGCAGTGAGTATTACAGTCTGACAGATACAGTCAGTAACCAGAATATTAACCCTGTGGTGAGCATTACAGTCTGACAGATACAGTCAGTAACCAGAATATTAGCCCTGCGGTGAGTATTACAGTCTGACAGATACAGTCAGTAACCAGAATATTAGTCCTGCGGTGAGTATTACAGTCTGACAGATACAGTCAGTAACCAGAATATTAGTCCTGCGGTGAGTATTACAGTCTGACAGATACAGTCAGTAACCAGAATATTAGCCCTGTGGTGAGCATTACAGTCTGACAGATACAGTCAGTAACCAGAATATTAGCCCTGCAGTGAGCATTACAGTCTGATGGACACAGTCAGTAACCAGAATATTAGCCCTGCAGTGAGTATTACAGTCTGACAGATACAGTCAGTAACCAGAATATTAGCCCTGCAGTGAGTATTACAGTCTGACAGATACAGTCAGTAACCAGAATATTAGCCCTGCAGTGAGTATTACAGTCTGACAGACACAGTCAGTAACCAGAATATTAGCCCTGCAGTGAGTATTACAGTCTGACAGATACAGTCAGTAACCAGAATATTAGCCCTGCGGTGAGTATTACAGTCTGACAGACACAGTCAGTAACCAGAATATTAGCCCTGTGGTGAATATTACAGTCTGACAGATACAGTCAGTAACCAGAATATTAGCCCTGCTGTGAGCATTACAGTCTGACAGATACAGTCAGTAACCAGAATATTAACCCTGCGGTGAGCATTACAGTCTGACAGATACAGTCAGTAACCAGAATATTAGCCCTGCAGTGAGTATTACAGTCTGACAGACACAGTCAGTAACCAGAATATTAGCCCTGTGGTGAATATTACAGTCTGACAGATTCAGTCAGTAACCAGAATATTAGCCCTGTGGTGAGCATTACAGTCTGACAGATACAGTCAGTAACCAGAATATTAACCCTGCAGTGAGCATTACAGTCTGACAGATACAGTCAGTAACCAGAATATTAGCCCTGTGGTGAGCATTACAGTCTGACAGATACAGTCAGTAACCAGAATATTAACCCTGTGGTGAGCATTACAGTCTGACAGATACAGTCAGTAACCAGAATATTAGCCCTGTGGTGAGCATTACAGTCTGACAGATACAGTCAGTAACCAGAATATTAACCCTGCAGTGAGCATTACAGTCTGACAGATACAGTCAGTAACCAGAATATTAGCCCTGCGGTGAGCATTACAGTCTGACAGATACAGTCAGTAACCAGAATATTAGCCCTGCGGTGAGTATTACAGTCTGACAGATACAGTCAGTAACCAGAATATTAGCCCTGCGGTGAGTATGACAGTCTGACAGATACAGTCAGTAACCAGAATATTAGCCCTGTGGTGAGCATTACAGTCTGACAGATACAGTCAGTAACCAGAATATTAGCCCTGCAGTGAGTATTACAGTCTGACAGATACAGTCAGTAACCAGAATATTAGCCCTGTGGTGAGCATTACAGTCTGACAGATACAGTCAGTAACCAGAATATTAGTCCTGCGGTGAGTATTACAGTCTGACAGATACAGTCAGTAACCAGAATATTAGCCCTGTGGTGAGTATTACAGTCTGACAGATACAGTCAGTAACCAGAATATTAGCCCTGCGGTGAGTATTACAGTCTGACAGATACAGTCAGTAACCAGAATATTAGCCCTGCAGTGAGTATGACAGTCTGACAGATACAGTCAGTAACCAGAATATTAGCCCTGTGGTGAGCATTACAGTCTGACAGACACAGTCAGTAACCAGAATATTAGCCCTGCGGTGAGTATTACAGTCTGACAGATACAGTCAGTAACCAGAATATTAGCCCTGTGGTGAGCATTACAGTCTGACAGATACAGTCAGTAACCAGAATATTAGTCCTGCGGTGAGTATTACAGTCTGACAGATACAGTCAGTAACCAGAATATTAGCCCTGTGGTGAGTATTACAGTCTGACAGATACAGTCAGTAACCAGAATATTAGCCCTGCGGTGAGTATTACAGTCTGACAGATACAGTCAGTAACCAGAATATTAGCCCTGCAGTGAGTATTACAGTCTGACAGATACAGTCAGTAACCAGAATATTAGCCCTGCAGTGAGTATGACAGTCTGACAGATACAGTCAGTAACCAGAATATTAGCCCTGTGGTGAGCATTACAGTCTGACAGACACAGTCAGTAACCAGAATATTAGCCCTGCGGTGAGTATTACAGTCTGACAGATACAGTCAGTAACCAGAATATTAGCCCTGCGGTGAGCATTACAGTCTTGTAAGTTCTAAGTGAATTAAGACCAACTCAGTGTCCTTGGGGTTAGAGTGTCCGCCCTGAGAGTGGAAGCGTGGGTGTAACCAGTCCTGGACCCAGGTCAAGTTATACCAAGAAGCTGTCTCATGCTTTGAAGATGACTCACACCCTACGGTGTGAACCATGTTAGGACATGAATTACTTGAGATAAACCTGACTTAGATAAACCTGACTTATATTACTAATCACTGCTGTCCTCTGCTCCACACACACACACACCTATTCCCTATATAGTGCCGTACAGTAGTCCACTATGTAGCTATGGGCCCTGGTCAGTAGTCCACTATGTAGCTATGGGCCCTGGTCAGTAGTCCACTATGTAGCTATGGGCCCTGGTCAGTAGTCCACTATGTAGCTATGGGCCCTGGTCAGTAGTCCACTATGTAGCTATGGGCCCTGGTCAGTAGTCCACTATGTAGCAATGGGCCCGGGTCAGTAGTCCACTATGTAGCTATGGGCCCTGGTCAGTAGTCCACTATGTAGCTATGGGCCCTGGTCAGTAGTCCACTATGTAGCTATGGGCCCTGGTCAGTAGTCCACTATGTAGCTATGGGCCCTGGTCAGTAGTCCTCTATGTATTTATGGGCCCTGGTCAGTAGTCCACTATGTAGCTATGGGTCCTGGTCAGTAGTCCACTATGTAGCTATGGGCCCTGGTCAGTAGTCCACTATGTAGCTATGGGCCCTGGTCAGTAGTCCACTATGTAGCTATGGGCCCTGGTCAGTAGTCCACTATGTAGCAATGGGCCCGGGTCAGTAGTCCACTATGTAGCTATGGGCCCTGGTCAGTAGTCCACTATGTAGCTATGGGCCCTGGTCAGTAGTCCACTATGTAGCTATGGGCCCGGGTCAGTAGTCCACTATGTAGCTATGGGCCCTGGTCAGTAGTCCACTATGTAGCTATGGGTCCTGGTCAGTAGTCCACTATGTAGCTATGGGCCCTGGTCAGTAGTCCACTATGTAGCTATGGGCCCTGGTCAGTAGTCCACTATGTAGCAATGGGCCCTCGTCAGTAGTCCACTATGTAGCAATGGGCCCTGGTCAGTAGTCCACTATGTAGGGAATAGGGTGCTATTTGGGATGTATCCAACCACAGACCACTGTTCTAATTGTTATTCAACGTTAATTGAAATGCAGTAAATAGCTATTAAAATGCCCAATGAGCAGGTAGTGTTTTCCTGTGATTCTATAACGTAGCAGGTGGCCTGGACCACAGCCTGACCTGAGGAGTGTGCTAAGGTGCTGGGGTAGAGACTAGCATACAAATCATGTGTTGATAACTGGATGATGGAAGTGAGAGAGAGAGAGAGAGAGAGAGAGAGAGAGAGAGAGAGAGAGAGAGAGAGAGAGAGAGAGAGAGAGAGAGAGAGAGAGAGAAGAGAGAGAGAGAGAGAGAGAGAGAGAGAGAGAGAGAGAGAGAGAGAGAGACAGAGAGTGTGTAAATCCTAGATTGTTGTACACTATGCTGCCCTTTCTATCATGTTATTCCCATATTTTCAATGAATAATATAATAATATAATTCAATAATAATGAATAAATATCACTTTTCAAAATGACCTAGCCTATGGAGTGAAAGATTCCTATCTTTAGATGTTTGCTAGCTATACAATTTCCCCACATGATGGTGCTCCATGTGGTTGTGTATAGAATGCCATATGAATTCAGGACATTTCAGATGGCTTTGTTTTGTATTCTAACAGCCCCCAAAGGCAAATTGGCATTTTTTTTTCCCCTAGGAGGGGTTTCTCAAACTCAGCCCTGGGGCCCCCCCCGGGTTGACTTTTTGTTTTTTGCTGTAACTACAAGTGAAAAATAAAAATTATTTAAAGGTTTGATTATTTGAAACCCTTTTGAAGTAGGGAATAAAAAAAGTGTGTGTGGGGGGGTTTTAAGGGAAAGGGGGGAGGTTTTTCTTTTTTCTTTTGTTTTTTTTCTTTTTTTTTTTTTTGTTTTTTAAATCTTTTCTTTTTTTTTTTTTTTTTCTTTTTTCCCTTTTTTCTCAATGGGGGGGTTTAAAAGGGCGGGGGGGGGAAAAAAAAAACCCCCCCCGGGGGGTTTGGGAAAGTTTTAAGGGGGGAAAAAGGGGGGGGAAAAAGGCCCCCTTAACAGGAAAAAAAAAAAATTTTCCTTTCCCTCGGGGAAAAGCCGGGGGTTTGGGGAATCAAAACACCCTTTCCTTCCTCCTTTTCCAAAGGGGGGGAAATTTTGGGTTGTTTTGGGGCCCCCGGGCCCCTTTTCCTTCCCCCCCTACTTTTGGGTGTTGAAAGGGTTTTAACCCCTCTTTGCCTTCCTTTTTCCCCCTTCTTTCCTCCCTTTCCTCCCCTTCTTCCTTTTTTTGTTTTAAAATTGAAGGAAAGAAGCTAGGTTAATTAAATAGTTTCCGGGAAAAATCATACAAAACTCTGGGGTAAAAAAAAAAACCTGAAAAAAAAAAATTTTGCCGGGTTTGGGGAAAAAAAGGGGTTTCCAAGGGGGGTTTTAGGGGGGGCGGGGAACCCAACCCCTCCAAAACCCAAAACCCCGTTTTAAATTAAGGAAAACCCCCCCCCTCTTTTTTTCTCCCCCCTTTTTTTTTTTTTGATTTTTAAAAAAATTTTCCCTTGAATTTATTCATTTTTTTCCCCCAAACCCTTTTTCCCCCCCTCTCTCTCTTCTCTCTCTCGTTCCTTCTCTCGCTCTCTGTCCCTCTCCTTCTCTCCTCTCTCCTCTCTCTCTCTCTCTCTGTGTTTTAGGAATATATTGTTATATTTGTGGGATAGATTGTGCATGGAGTGTGAATTTAGCTGCCCACGTTACACAGGACAAGGAAAGAAAAATTTCAACATTTACTCGTCGAGTAAAGCAGCACGAGGAATGCGTGGAGCTGAATTAACAGAAACACCCTTCCTTCCTCAACTGTCCATGGTTGGAGTTTCTGAACTTGAGCGCTCTGTCCATGGTTGGAGTTTCTGAACTGGAGCGCTCTGTCCATGTACCAGACACAGCAAATACAATATTATGCTAGTACTGCACCAGTGTTTAAGCCTTCAGAGATCTATCTGCCTTACCTTACTCTACCTTACCTATCTATTTGCCTTACCCTTTCTCTGCCTTACCTTACTCTGCCGTTTGAATTCGTTCTGGACAACACTGATGACAGGAATTTGAAGCGCTGACGCGATGAATTCCAACTTCAGCAGTTCGTCCCTGGTCTGAGGGAAAGCCATCATAGCAGAAACTCCTTGGACTATAACAGTAGAACAAACACTCTGCAGAAACGACATGGGGTCTTCACTGACCGGGGTAGAGGACACAGACATGGGGTCTTCCACAGCCCGGGGTAGAGGAGGAGTAGGCGGGTAATTCCCCGAGCCCCGCTTCCACAGCCATCACCACCTCCAGTGAGAGGTTATATGGTAACAGACCGACCATGCGGTTCAACGTCTCCATGGCTAATATGATAGAGTCCCTCGGCATAAACACATTGCTCTCACTCTCGATCTCTATATACATGTTTTTACTTTTACCCCCATTGTCCCTGTCCCTGTCCCTGTCCCTGTCCCTCTCCCTCTCCCTCTCCCTCTCCCTCTCCCTCTCCCTCTCCCTGTCTTGGCTGTTCACGGACCCATTAGTCCTTAGGCTGCATAAACCCTGTTCATTGCCACTTTTGGTAATATTTTCCAACTGTCTCTCCACTGCTTCCCTCGTGCCCCCGTTTATATCCCATTCTTCCACGGGGACAGGGGGTTCTTTCCCGCCTCTGAAGGTGGAAACGGGACTGAAGAGCCGCGGCTGCAGTTGCAGGGCCCCCACGCGCACCGTGTGCCCAATCCGCTTGAGGATTTGACAAGGCTGGGAGGAGGAGAAACACACTGGAATCAGAACGCACGACAGCATGGTGCATGGAGCGAGCAAAGGGAGCAGCACAAACCGGCCAAACGCACCCCAAATCCTGAACCGCTTCATCACGCAACAGGGACCTCCGAACACACCGAAAAACGGAGCTCCACTGGTTCCCCTGCCACTCTTGATGTCCCAGCGCAGCGCCAGTTAGGCTCCACTGGTTCCCCTGCCACTCTTGATGTCCCAGCGCAGCGCCAGTTAGGCTCCACTGGTTCCCCTGCCACTCTTGATGTCCCAGCGCAACGCCAGTTAGATCTCTCCGTCTCCCATGTAATGATCCCGGTCAGACACCAACAGGAGCGAGCGCGGCCACAACTCACGCACAGACACAAAAATCTTGGCTAAAACTGCAGCTTTTCATCTCAAAATCTTTTCATTATCAATAAATGCATTTATATTTTTTTAAATCGAGTATTCCGTTTGGTTTCAAATATCCCAATGCAGGTCAATGGAAAATAACATAGTAAGAAAAACAATGCCGATTTGGGAATGATGAACACATCGTTACAGTTTGGGTATTATTCGTAACTCACTGTTAGGTTCCCTCTCATTTTCTGTTAGTTAAATACGTTTACTTCCAAAAATATATTCCAATATCATCCATCTGATCTGGAAACATCCGGTATTCTCTTTCTCCTCTCACCCCCTAGACGCTCTCCGACTGTCTAACGCAGGTGCCCGCGCGTTCTTACCCTTAATTGCACGTGTACTGATAAAAACCTTTGGCACCGGACAGTTCACGTTTCGGTAAAACTGCAGCTGAGAAAAGACAAACTCCAATTTGGTCTCATTGACCAGTCACTCTCCCTCGTCAAAAAGCAGTGACCTTCAAGGAACCAACCACATAGTGAATTGCAATAGTGACGTGTGTGTGTGTGTTTATTTTCTCCGGGAGCTTTTAAGGTGTTTGCGACAACTACATATTTAATTATTAAGGCTAATTATAATGAAACCGATAGTACAGCTAGGCCCTCTTGAGTTCAGATAATATTATATTTTTTGATGTTCCAAATGGTCTGCCCCGAGGTCTAGTGCTGAACCTGTCTACAAATCAAAACACATTTTATTTGTTACATGCTATGAAAACAACACTAACTGAAAGGATTATTTACGGGTCATTTTCCAACAATGCAGAGTTAAAGATAAGATAGTACAATAATAGAAAGGGACACGAGGAATAAATCAGTGAATAACAATAATGAGTAAAAATAACACCTGTATACAGGAAGTACCAGGTAATAACACGGCTGTATATAGGGAGTACCAGGTAATAACATGGCTATATACAGTAAGTACAGGTAATAACATGGCTATATACAGGAAGTACCAGGTAATAACATGGCTATATACAGGAAGTACCAGGTAATAACGTGACCGTATACAGGAAGTACCAGGTAATAACATGGTTATATACAGGAAGTACCAGGTAATAACGTGACTATATACAGGGAGTACCAGGTAATAACATGGCTGTATACAGGAAGTACCAGGTAATAACATGGCTAAATACAGGAAGTACCAGGTAATAACATGGCTATATACAGGAAGTACCAGGTAATAATGTGACTGTATACAGGAAGTACCAGGTAATAACATGGCTATATACAGGAAGTTCAAAAGGCACTTGCACATCTGAGCTATCTTTGTTGCAGGTGCCATGGTAACAGTTGAATAAGATGAGGAGAAAAGAAGAAACCGGCACACTGCTCTTGATAGCATCACTGCCCTTTAATAAGCTTTACTATCGGCCTCAAGGCCTTCTTCAGAGCTTTTGTGACTTTTTTAAATTAGCACCCTTACGTAAACATAGCCCCACCCACATCCGTTCCACGCAATTTTTATCTGCTTATAATTTCAAAAAATGTATAGACTATTTTAGTCAACTTGTCTAGTCAAATAGGCAGAGGCTTCTCTTCAGTCATAACTTGTTGCTCTAGAAGACAAATAAATTATAATACATAATAAATCAATCGGTACTCACAAGAATAAATGTCTTCAATGATAGAATGAATGCATAAATCATCTAGCTGACGTCTGTAAAGCTTTCTCTTTCATTGTTGCTCCCCTCGACCGGGCCGGGAAGAAAACGCAATAGCTCTAAACAGGGTAGCCGAAATATTATTCCCTTGCAAACATTTTCTGAATAAAAGCAGTGAAAACTAAAATCCATGTTTCTGATAAGAATTCACTTCGTTATTGATGTATAGTTTACGTGGTCAAAATACTTACAGCTGTTATCTAAAAGGATCAATCACTGAATAAGACACCCATATTCGCATTTGCTCGAGATACTGAAATAAATTAATCTTATATTGCTCCACTTTCTTTTCCGGATACAAAAAACAGTTGGAGCATCATTGTACTGCAAGAAATATTTAATTCTACAGGAGTTCATTTCATATTAGGCTACATGTGAGATGTTATAGGCCTGTCAATGTCCAGATTTCGTTAGTATTCCATTTAACTCATCTCAAGTTCAAAGGTATCATTTCAGCTCCCTCATTTCAGCTCCCTCATTTCAGCTCCCTTATTTGTTGGCAAAGTAAACATGTAATAATTCGATATATTCTTCTCTCACAAGATTTCACAATAAACAAGTCATTCAAAATAATACTCAAAGTAGGAATAGTAATAGAGACAGTCTTTCACAGCGTCCAATATTTAAGTAAGCTTAGTAATAACCTCAAAGTTGATCTGTTCTGAAGATACAAGATAGTTTACATAGCACAATGAAATAGTAGCCATACATACAGTAACGACAGTGTAGTGCAACACAAGGCATACAGTGGTGCAGTGGAGACAGCAGCGGTGTGGCTGTAGAGCAAAGAGGAATCTTGTGACAAGAACATGGAGAGAATTGAGTACCACAGTATGAGTCATAATACTCATAAAACCTACCGTAAAACCCGGAAATGGTTCCAATGTTTTTTTCACCATTCATTTTTGCATCTGGAATTATATAACTATTTCATATAAGGTCTGTGTTTAGTGTAGGCTTCCCCTGGCGTGACGTTTTGATAACCGCGTAAATCTCTCTCGGACAAGGTGACTTTTATCAATATATTTGCCTGTAATTACCCCGCATAAACAAAATGCTAATTAGCTGCTAATGTGGCTATCAGACAGAACTACACATCTTGTTGCAAGCTTTGACGTCATCCCTGAAGGCACATTTCTCCATGCAAACTCATCGTCAAGTAGCAGGTAACCTAGCAAGTAGCGTAGATATTATAGCCTTTTTAGTTTCTCAGATAAATAATTTATATTGTGACCTTTTTATTGACACGTTTTTAGTGAGCTAGCCAGCTACTTTTTCACGTGGTGACATGCTAGCTAGTTAGCTTAACACCTATTTAGCTTAACAGCTATTTAGCTTAAAACCTACCTACTTTAAAACCTACTCACCTTAAAACCTATTTAGCTTAACACCTATTTAGCTTAACACCTATTTACCTTAAAACCTACTTACCTTAAAACCTATTTAGCTTAACACCTATTTAGCTTCAAACCTATTTAGCTTAACACCTATTTAGCTTAACACCTATTTAGCGTAACATCTATTTAGCTTAAAACCTATTTAGCTTAAAACCTATTTAGCTTAACACCAATTTATCTTAACACCTATTTAGCTTAAAACCTACTTACCTTAAAACCTATATAGCTTAACACCTATTTAGCTTCAAACCTACTTACCTTAAAACCTACTTACCTTAAAACCTATTTAGCTTAACACCTATTTAGTTTAAAACCTATTTAGTTTAAAACCTATTTAGCTTAACACCTGTTTAGCTTAACACCTATTTAGCTTAACAGCTATTTAGCTTAACGCCTATTTAGCGTAAAACTTATTTAGCTTAAAACTTATTTTGCTTAAAACCTATTTAGCTTAACACCTATTTAGCTTAACACCTCTTTAGCTTAACACCTCTTTAGGTTAACGCCTGTTTAGCTTAACGCCTATATAGCTTAACGCATATTTAGCATAACACATATTTAGCTTAAAACCTACTTACCTTAAAACCTATTTAGCTTAACACCTATTTAGCTTAACACCTATTTAGTTTAAAACCTATTTAGCTTAAAACCTATTTAGCTTAACACCTGTTTAGCTTAACACATATTTAGCTTAACAGCTATTTAGCTTAAAACCTACTTACCTTAAAACCTACTTACCATAAAACCTATTTAGCTTAACACCTATTTAGCTTAAACCCTATTTAGCTTAACACCTATTTAGCTTAACACATATTTAGCTTAAAACCTACTTACCATAAAACCTATTTATTGTCACAATGGTAGGGATTAACTGAGCTGGTCTTTTGTCATTGATAAGTCAATGTTTCAATGCAGCCTTGACATGCGTGGACAGAGTCAAGGAGCCAAGATGATTTGAATGGACTCTGTCATTCCTGTGGAGTATCTTCTGTTTCCAGAAGGTGTCCAAGTCATCTATAAAAGTGATTCCAGCAGAGCTACAGTAATCTATTAGCCAGGTGTGTAATGCCAGTAGCCTGCTGAATCCTTCACACCCGCGGTCCAACGATGGTAACGGATCTGAAATGATTGGCTTTTTGGTATCTTTCAGTTCTTTAAAATCAATTTTCAGATGTTCCGAGCTAGCCCTCCTGATGTCGTTTGACCCCACATGGACTACGTCAGCGTCAGCCCCTGGCAGCTGTCATAGAACGGTCGGATGCAGCCTTGTAATGTCCTGTACTCGTGCTCCTGGGTAAGACACGGTTTTTGCTCTAGGAACCGAGATGTTTCGCACCATAGAGCTGCCGATGATGACAGCTGGTGAAATAGCCGAGGAGATCCAGCCGTTCTTTCGCCTCGAGTGAAGACGCTTTGAGGACCGAAGGGCGATGGGGTCCGATGGAACCGAGCCTGCTGTAATATCCATCATGGATGATGAATGGGCCGGTCTCTCAGGCAGCCTCACGGTGTGATGAGGGTGGGAGCTCTGAGGATCTGAACCCGAGGAAGAAGCCACCGAAGAGGGAGACAGAACAGAGGACGAAGGCGCAGGTACCTCCAGATCCGATCTCGAATCGGAAGCCCCT